CGCGTAAGGCCGTAGCTCCGCTTCTTCCATTTCATCTACCATGCAGCTCCTCTTGTCGTTCCAGACCCCCCTTCCGCACGAGGTGGCGGGTCTTGGTAAACGACCCGCGTATGGGCTTCTTTCCATTTCGTCTACCATGCAGCTCCTCTTGTCGTTCCAGACCCCCCTTCCCACCCCACGAGGTGGTGGGTCTTGGTAAACGACCCGCGTAAGGCCGTAGTTCCGCTTCCTCCCATTTAGTCCACCACGCAGCTCCTCATGTGGTCCCAGACCCCCCTTCCCACGCCGAGGTGGCGGGTCTTAGTCTTGGTAAACGACCTGCGTCAGGCCGTAGCTCCGCTTCATTCCATATTTCGGCCACCACGAAGCTCCTATGTCGTTCCAGACCCCCTTCCCACCCCGAGTTGGCGGGTCTTGGTAATTTACCCGTGTAAGGCCGTAGTTCCGCCTCTTTCCATTTCGTCCACCAAGCAGCGCCCCTCATGTCGTCCCAGACTCCCCCTGTCTCCCGATTTGGAAAATCCCGGCCGTAGCTCCGCTTCTTCCATCGCACCCACCACACAGCACTCCCCAAGTCGTTGCAGACCCGCTTCTAGCTCCGAGATCGGGGACCTGGGTAAACGACCCGCGCACGGCAGTAGCTCCGCTTCTTTCATTTCGCATTACGCATCGCTCCTCACGTCGTTCCAGACACCGCTTCTCGCAAGGCCGTATAGTCTCGCTCCGAGAATGTACGACTCTCGTGAAGCCGTAGCCGCTACCCCGATTCTTACCATTACATGCCAGGCCTCGGTTTCGAGTCCGGCTCAGCTGGGCCCCCCGCCTCTACGCGTCCGCGAGTGCATTCTCGTCCTTCCCCTTCTCCGGTTCCCACTTTGCGTCGCCCCCCCCTCTTCTGGCCCAAACCCCCCTTTCCGGGCTGATTACCCAGACTTGGGCCACCTCCGGCGGGTTTCAGGCTCCCCATTTCTTTCGGGACCAGTCCGTGCCGGTCTCGGCCTTCGTTTCCACTTTTTGTCCAGACTCTAGTTCAAGCCCCCTCTGGAACCTCCCGCGGAGGGGGCCGATGACGCTTGCGGAGGCCCCGAGATGCTGGGCGGGGAAGAGTGGTGGAGGCCGCGGCTACTGCTGCAGGTCGAACCCTACCTACCTACCTACCTTAGCTAGGGTCACTGCTGGCTTGTAAGATGTCTTTGCTGGATGTGCTTGTGCTGGATATGAAGAAGTTTCGCAGTTTCTTGCTACGTGCAAGTGGAAGCTCGGAGGCTCGTGAGCGGTGCGAGCCAAGAAATTATGTACATTTCGCCAGCGCAGGAATAGTATTGTAGTTGTAAATCAAGAGCTAGCGCTGTCTGTCTTCCAGCATGATTGTGTTATTGGCCGAAGACTCGGCCCACAACGAGGGGTGGCTTCGATTGCGAAACCGCAAAACCGCAAAAAGAGCTGGTGTGCTCAAAGCTCACGGTCTGTCAAAACTAGCATGAAGTTCTGTTTGATCCCGGATTGCAGGCCTGGCCGCAGTGGATATATGTGGACCTCGAAGATTCTGTGGAAGGACCGATCATGGAGGGCTTAGCATGAGTGATTGAGTGCATGATGCAAGCAGAGCAATTCAAGTCTGCCTTGTGCGAGGGCGTATGTGTGCATGTGCGTTGACCCATGAATGTGTGAGCCGTACAAGGCTCATGTGTATACGGAATGTCATACATGTGCTGAACCCGTGCAACCATGCATGGAAGTGGTTGTGTGCATACAGACTCATACAAACAACTTTGTATAAGATACACATGTACCATGCAAACACTGACGTGCTTTGGCTGTTCACCTTTGCGATGAAGCAGCGTCGTCGCAAGAATGTGAAGACTTTGCGGCGGGATCGTGCCGTGCGGAAGAATCCGCCGCTTATGCAGCAATCGTGGGTGCTGCACGGTTTGGCAAAGATGGGTGCTGTGCCATTGGAGCTTTTCCTGCATTTGAATGAGTGTATCATGTTGTGCCCACTATAACCCTCAACTCCAGTGTCGTGACTGCAGAGGTTGTATTTAAACTGGTGGCTATGATGACACAAATCCAAAGCCTGCCCTGGGATGTTGCATTGCACCACTTCGAAACGTTTGCTGGAAGCAGAGCAGTTTCACGAGCCGAGCAGCGAGCTGCTTGCTTGCAGAATAGTTAAGTCATGCTTGCCCCCACCCACAACCTCCCAAAAGCCCCTCCTTGTAAACGTTTCTCCCAGGCTGGTCGATATGCGCTCCCACATGACATCGTCTACAACGAGCGCACGAGGAATATCCTCAGCTCCCTGGGCTTTTGCAATGCATTGTTTGAGTGCCTTAGACTGGTGCCTGGTAGTGGAAAACTCACGGCCCCTGTGTGCTCATCATGGATATTTCTGTAGGGCACCAAGTTGCTATGGAATGCATATGATGTGCTTCCCTTACAGCTGACATGTGTGCTGTGCTGATAAGAAATCTTGAGGTCTCAATCCAAAACAATGCGACGGGCTGGCGATGTACTGGGAGACGAGTCTGTGCAGTCTGTGAAGGATGCAAACTGCATGCTGTGGCGAGTTGTTGCCCTCCTCCTAATCTGTTCGGCTAAGCGGGTGTTCTGGATATTGGAACAGCCAGAGCGGTCATTGATGGAATCCCATCCTGCCATTCAGCTGCTCTTTGGCTGTGTGAAATGCTATCGAGTATCTATTCAGATGGAAGATTTCGGCGCGAAATCCAAAAAACCAACATGGTTGTATAGTAGTGCCTTGTCCGCACGTACAGAGTCATGCTTGCAAGTGGTTCCATGTCGGAGTAGCCATGCATCCCTTGATGTTTGCTGAGATCGGAAGATACTGGAGAAGCTTCCACGATTCAAGCCACCGGTGGAAGACCTTCCCACCGAGGAGCAGAAGAAGGGATGGGAAATGTCAGTGCATTACACCGACGAGAACGGATGCAAGCGTGTGAATGGCGGCCGAAACCTGAAGGGCTCACAAGCCTATCCGAGACAGTGGGCCCTCAATAATTGCAATTGCATTACAACCGCGGTTCGTGCGGCCCTGACAATTAACCCCGAAACCGCGATGAGTGTTGTTTCCCAGTAAGGTTTGGCATTGCTTTGTCATCCCTGCGGACGGAGTACGATGCTGAGATCAAGCAGCAGGCTTGGGCAGATCTCGCTGAGGCTCTGAAGCAGCCTTTGCAGCTTCCTGCAGAGTGTAAGATCTCTAAGAGATGGGAGCGGAAAGCCGGTTTCAAGAAGGTGTTTGCATTCTTGCGACAGCAGCAGTAGCTGCTATGTGTGCAGCATGCATATAATTGAGTGCAGGCATCATGCGCAGGGGAATGGGGCCGAAAAAGGATTCCACAGGTTGCCGGTGAGCATGCATGTTGATTTGCAATACCAGCTCTATATGGATCAATATGCAATCATGGATGCTGGCTTGCAACGCAGGATCATGCCGCCGTTCATATTGAAGCCGGGCGGTCTGGTATTGGCCGAATGCCGTTCTCCAGTCGAAGAAGGCCATGCATGGGTGCCATGCATGTGTGTGTGTGTGTGTGTGTCAAACAAGAGAGTCAGTGCTGCTTTTCTGCTCGGTTTGTGAACCGGTGCCTGGGGGAGCAGAGGGGAGAGAAGAGGTGAGGGCAGAACGCAAAGGGAGAAGGGAGATGGGAAGGAAGACCGAACCGGAGAGCGCGAAGGGAAAGAGAGCGGAGAGTGGAGAGTTCGCAGCGGACCAAAACCACCGAACAAAAAAAAAAAAAACCGAACGAAACGAAAACGACGCAAAATCCACAAAGTCGCTGGTGTGATTTGGCGTGGACGCTGGTGCGATTTGGCGTGGAACGTCGTGATTTGTATTTCGACCCCAAATCTCAACCAATGCCCCCCCAGAACAGCCAGAACTCGAGACGAAAGAGCGCAACTTCGGCACTTGATGGAAGATGACAGCCGTGATTTGTAGCAGCCGCTGCCGTGATTTGCAAGAGATATGAACCGCATGCTGTGATATTGTAGCAGCCGCTTCCGTGATTCGTGATTTGTAGAAGCCGCTGCCGTGATTTGTGGAAGCCGCTGCCGTGATTTGAAAAAAGCCGCTGCCGTGATTTCTAAAAGCCGCTGCCGTGATTTGCCGCTGCCGTGACCGCTGTCGTGATTTGTAAAAGCCGCCGCCGTGATTTGTAAAAGCCGCTGCCGTGATTTGTAAAAGCCGCCGCCGTGATTGTAAAAGCCGCTGCCGTGATTTGTAAAAGCCGCTGCCGTGAGTTGTAAAAGCCGCTGCCGTGATTTGTAAAAGCCGCTGCCGTGATTTGTAAAAGCTGCTGCCGTGATTTGTAAAAGCCGCCGCCGTGATTGTAGAAGCCGCCGCCGCCGTGATTTGCAGCAGCTGCTGCTGTGATATGATACATCATGGATATATATATATATATATATTATATCGTATGCAACATACATACACATCTATAGTTTATAGGGTTCCTATATATATTCTGCATTTGGTGCCACAGGTGCATTCAGTAATATGCACACATATGTACATGCATGTGCATGCATGCATATATATATATATATATGTATACACACACATTTTCCTATACCTGCACACATAATGTATATATAGTGTATGTATATGTATATAACATGCATGCATGTTGTCTTGTCTGTCTGTCTGCATGCAGTCTCTCTGTCTTTGTACATATAAGCCAAGCCAACCCCCCAGCCCATGCGCCCAGCCCATCCATGGGCAAGTCTGTCTGTCCATAACGTATACAGCCCACCCAAGCCAGCCCCAGCCCGCCCAGGCTATATGGAGAGTCTGTCTGTCTGTCTGTCTATCTGTCTGTGTCCTCGTCTCTCTCAGACACCTTGAGATGCAAGGCAAGGTTCCATGAAGTGAGAGCACATGAAGCTTCGATGCATTCACCTTGTGCTGCATGGGGCGCTTGCTTTCAAGCTTTTGGTGGCTCCTGTTTTGTGAAGTTAATCTTTGAGCTGCAGCCATGGCAGCTGGCGACCCTGTGACTCATAGGGTTTCAACGAAACGCCAGCAGTCACGAGACGACAGCGAAAGCCGGCCGAAGAAGAAGGCAAGGCCGTCGAAGCTTGAAGTGTCCCGGCACGAAAAACTCATGGTCTTCTTGCAGCAGTGTGCTACTAAGGGTAGGAGGCCAGGAAGCCTGGCAGCCCCTCCTGTTGCGATTAAGAAGAGCCGAAAAGAACAGCAAGAAACCGAAGTCGCAAAGGAAAAGAAGGAAAGCAAGGAGAAGAAGGAAGTCAAAGAGAAGAAGGAAAGCAAAGAGCAAGTCAAAGAGAAGAAGGAAAGCAAAGAGCAAGTCAAAGAGAAGAAGGAAAGCAAAGAGCAGAAGGAAAGCAAAGAGCAGAAGGAAAGCAAGGAGAAGAAGGGAAGCAAAGAGAAGAAGGACAGCAAAGAGCAGAAGGAAAGCAAAGAGCAAGTCAAAGAGAAGAAGGAAAGCAAAGAGCAGAAGGAAAGCAAAGAGCAGAAGGAAAGCAAGGAGAAAGTCAAAGAGAAGAAGGAAAGCAAAGAGCAGAAGGAAAGCAAGGAGAAGGAGGAAAGCAAAGAGAAGAAGGACAGCAAAGAGCAGAAGGACAGCCAGGAGCAGGGAGGAAACAAGGAGAAGAAGGGAAGCAAAGAGCAGAAGGAAAGCGCAGAGCAGAGGGACCACAAGAACAAGAAGGACAGCAAAAGGGGAGTGCAGGAGGCAAGCAAGGAGCAGAAGGAAAGCAAGGAGAAGAAGGCAAGCAAAGAGAAGAAGGAAGACCAGACGGCCAAGAAGCGGAAGAAGGAAGGCACAAGCAAGCAGGACGCGTCTGAGGAGCAGGACCGTGGACCGTGCACATTGCAATGGTGTCTTATAGTTTATGTAGATATGCAGTTTGTGCGTGGTGGATGAGTATAGGACGATGAAACGGCGGAAGCCTTCGATGAGGTGGCTCTCCTGGAGGCGGAGCTTGCAGCTCGGGAGCTAGCGGAAGCCCAAGAGGACTCGGAGGTTTCAGATGGCGAGGCACCCGAAGAATCGGAAGAAGCCAAGGACGATGAAGAGGAGGACGAGCCAGAGCAGGAGGAGACCAGTGCTCCAAGGACCCCAGGTGCCGGCGCTTTGGACAGTGACGAGGAGCTGCCTCAGTCGCAAGATTGTGTCTTGGACGAAGAGGACATGCAGTCCGACTCGTCAAGCGACCAGTCGGAGGAGAACGTGGACGGCGACTCCTTGAGTGACGCTGAGGACACAAAGGCGTTGAGTACGGCCGTGGCGACTGAGCCCGTTCGGAACAGCTCCCTAGATTGCATATATACAAGCTTGCTGTTTCAGTTGCCGTGCGATATTGCGAGTGCATTTAAGGTGCCACACACAAGAAGGAATGGGCGGTTTTCGATCGTGCCGTTAAGAACCGCCAGAAGTTCCCCGTCGCTCTGAGCAACTATGCGAGCAAGTCCAAGACGGATTTGTTTGCTGCATGGCTCGATTGCAATGGCAATTGGGACGAGCTATTTGGCTGCATGAGTTGTCTGCTTGCGCGGGTTTGCGGTTGTATGGAGCAAGACATGTTTCGAAGGGTGCTGCAATGCTGTCAGGGTGAAGTTGGTTATGGAACGCAAGCATGAAAAGAAGAGCCTAAATCGCCAGGATGTTCTTGCTATTCAGGGAAAGGACTTGAAGACAAAGTACGCAGACGAGGCAGAAGACTTATCCGTTTCCGGTTGCACAGTTCAGGCTGAACACATTTGCCAGGCAATGTACAAGCAAGTGATTGCAGCAAGAAAAGCCGAAGGCCGCTGGTACAAAGACATGGACTTCCCCGACAACGAAGATGTGACTAGGTTTCATCCATGGGAGTTCTGAGCCGTGTTGTGCTGTTGTTCTTGCTGTGCATGTTATCATATATGCATTTGCTGAGGAAGCATGGTATTACATGCCGAAGGGCCACCTGCTGCGGCTTGACAATGCCACGAGCGAAGAACAAAAGTTGTCTGTCGGACAAGGTATGGATGAGGACTTGGCGAAGGTACTGGAGGAGAACAACCTGCTTCAGGCAGGCACCTTGCCTGCGGTACACGCAGCCACTGAGGCTGGCGAGAAGACGCTTCTGGCCTTCTTCGATGAAGGTGCTGCTGTGGCAAAGCGAGCACCGAAACCCAGGAAGGACAAGGAGTCAACGGAGGATGCCAAGGAGATGGAACCGAAGACCGTGCGCCAGTTGCTTGAATGCTTTTGTTGAGTTACTTCAATGCTGTCTGCGCTGCTGCTTGTGCGTGGGTATTTATGCTAAGGCTGGTGGCAGAAGCGAAGCCGGAGATCCTGAAAGATGCTTCGAAAGCTCGGGAGACCTCCCTCACCCTGAACAACCTCAACTACGGTGAAAAGTTGGCCGAACAGCTGCTGAATTACTCCAGGCAGATGGAGCTGACCTACAAGAGGCTAGCTGAGCTGGAGGCAAAGGAGAGCACCGAGGATGCCGAGTTGAACAAGTTTCTGAAGTATGTGGCCAAGAAGAAGCCATGGTTCCAGCAAGCCCGCTCACTGATCTTGCGTTGCTGCGGTGTGCGAGTTTTGTTGGATCTGTGTGCGGAACACATGCTTGCTAAGGCAGCAGCAAACGGCCTGCAGTCTGGATTGAAAGCAAAGAAGAAGAAGGCAGGAGCCAAAGCAAGCGCCAAAGGTGCTGCTGCGAAGCCTGCCGCAAAAGCGGCTGCTTGATGATGATGATGTAGGTTTGGGATGCACCGCACATGACGTTTATCTTGGGACGATTGCATTCTGACGTGGGGTAGACTTGCCAGTAGGCGAGCCCTCGCTGGGACGTGCATGCGCACTTGACAGTTTGATAGTGTTCATTTGGGAGTCTTCCTGTTGAATGCAGAAATATGTAAGCTGCATGAATTTGCAAAGTTAGGGTGCATGTAAGATTGTAAGATGCTCCTGAGACAAGTGTGCTATGCATGTCACCGAATGCCTTGCGAAAGCTCCTTTTGGGAACATGTGCAGCTGCCACGATGGCAAAAGCCGACGAGATCCGCATTTCGTTCTGCTGAAAGAGTATGATTCATGTCATGCTGGTTGCTTGCAAACACGGTCTCTTGTGTTTGTGTGTTGAATTTCCGAAGTTAAATTCGGCTTCAAGGCAGGCCGTGCTGATGATGATCGATTCAAGCCCAGGCTTTGCCGTTTGAATCGTCATGTGCTTTGGTCAGTTCATGTTGGTTGCTGTACTGCCATGATGCAGGCCTACATCCTTTCGTCGGAGAATGAACTATGAATCTATGCCACATTCTCATGCAGCAGAAGAGCTTCTGGATATGATTGGGAGTGGCAAGGCCCATGTGGCACATGCTCAAAATTTGGCGCAGGCTATGATTCGGGATGGGATTCCAAAGGAAGCTGTCTCTGCTTTTGCGAGCCTGGGATCATTTGGGCAGCATCCTTCGAATGCTGAGCGTGACCTACATAGATGGCTGAAAGGTATCTATGGAATGTGCTTGGAACCATACTATATAGACTTGCTACTTGAAACGGAGGATGTTGATGAGGACGCCGGGGAACCTTTGACGGCAACAAAAAGGATACCTGTTCTCCTACTACACGAGATCTTCGCTGAGCTTCATTCTTCAAGTGCGTATCAGGTTCCGACCGGACACAAAACACCGAGAGAGCACAAGACTAACCTTTTGCGACAATCTTTTCTCGTTTGTTTTCACGCATGTCTCTTTCTGTGCGAGTGGTTCTAAGGTTTGTTGGTGGATCTTGTGACATAATATGACTCCTTGTTCCCTGTCAGTTTGGTACGAGCATGCTGGGGCACCAGACACCGAATGCGATCAAAGAATTTTGGGAACATTTGCAACGGTTTGCGCCGATGGATATCAAGGATCATCCGGCTTTGGAGAGCTGTGATCTCTCCGAGCTTGTGCCGCTCCTTGTTCACTTTGATGGTGCAGAAAGTATTTTCTTCTATGCTGGATGTGGATTGCATCCAAACTCAATTCTTGTGTTGCATCCTTCCTCATATTGCGATGGAAACCAAGGAGGCCTGTGGGGGATTCCATTTGAACTTCGTATAATGTGTCATAGAAGTAGAAAGTAGAATACATTCTTCTTATAAGTGACTTAAGCCATTTCTCAGGTGAAGGACCACGTGCACACTGAAATCGCGAAGCTAATGAGCTGGTCTTTCAAAATCCTTCAAGAAGGTCGCTTTCCAGATCGTGGGTATTATGGGGAAGAGCTTCCTGAAAAATCGAGTCGGGGAAAGAGCCGCGGGCTGCCCCTGGCCGGCGGATGGAAGATTCTTGAGCTGCAGCTATGTAAGATTTTGGGTAGCCGGTCTGAGTTGCAGGTCTGTGCTGTCCGTTGTGAAGTGCATGTAATTCTGCAGGGCATGCTTCTATGGATTTCGCGGGGACCAGAAAGCGAGACGGGAGTGTCACTTCTTTACGCGGCACTACAACTGCAATCTGCTTTGCGACCAATGCGTTGCCATAAAACCATCAAAGAATATAGTCCGTGGGATGAACTACAAGAACTTTTCTGCGAATGCTCCTTTTCTACTCACGACTATCAGTCACGAAACGTATTTGAACACAACTTCCGCGAGTGACCTGTCGCCTTGGTCGGCGATGCCAGGCTGGAGACTTGAGAATACGTTTTTTGATTGGATGCATGTAGTCCTGCTTGGAGTGGGAAGAGATGCTGTTGCTGCCGCCATCAAACTGATGGTCATGCGGGGAGTGATTGGCTGGGATACAAAGCGAGCAGATCTGAAGATGTTGACGCTTTGGATCAAGAAAGAATACAAGAGCCGGAATGGGTATCTGGGCTTTTTGAAGAACGCTTTTTGGTTTTGTTCTAGTAGTTGGCTTTTAGCTGTGTTCGTTGGTGCATGTATCATGATTTCCACCCTGAAGGAAATCCTTCTCTATGATATCTTTGACCCCTGCAAATGCTGGCCTGGATCCTTGGACCGAATACCCGGAGCTCGGGACAATTTTCAAGGCTGCGCAAGTCAAGATCCTGATCTGGGGAATATCGAGAAAACTCCAGGAGGTGGTCAAGCGGGTTCAGGAGTTGCATGTTCCAAAAAATTCCGCATTCCCCATGTTGTTCTAAATTTAACTTTTCTTTTGCATGCATCCATCTATCTCTCAGTGCCTCTCTCCCTTTCTCTCAATCTCTCTTCAGCTCTCTCCCTCTCTCTCTCTCTCCCTCTCTCCCTCTCTCCCTCTCTTGCTCTCTCGCTCTCTCGCTCGCTCGCTCTGTTGCTGTTCTCTGTGCCGCAGGATGAGGATTTGGTGAGAATGGCTCTGGCAATGCGAGGGCTCAGTGAAGCTCAGAGTTTGCTGGACAACGGCGGCTTGAAGTTCACTGGAAGCGAAGCACGAAAGTTCGATGAAATGGTGCACTTGCATTTACGAACGTGGCAAAGGCTGGCTGTGAAATTCGAGGACCTCCTCATCCCTTTGTGCAACATCCGGCCCAAACACCACTATCTACAGCATCTTGCTCGGTATGTGCTGCGGACCCGAATAAATATTCGGATACACCAAAACTTCGATTCTGAATCCTACATGGGGAAAATCAAACGAATCGCCTGCAAACGCCATTCGACTTCGATGTTGCTGCGAGTCCAGCAGCGCTACATCCTGTACTTGGCGTTGCTCTGGGATCGAGCAAAACGAGCATCAGTTGGTGGGGATGTCAGGGGAAAATCTTTGGAAGATATCTTACCGCCGCAGCCATTTAGGCTTATTTCCCCATTTGCACCTACTTTGCCAGCCAGCATGGCGCTGTTTGAGCAATCGGAGCTCGCAGCCTTCCTGCAGGCGCAGGGGGTGCACGAAGTGGTCTGCAACGGGCTCGCCCTCAAGGGGCTCGAGACAGTTGAGGATCTGGCATTTGCCTACCCAGACCTCACTAGCTTCGACACTTTCTTGCAGAGCCTTTCGGAGTCGGATCTCAGTGATATGGGGGTCTCGGATGCACTACATTCGGTCCAGGCAGCCCGAGCCAGGAAAGCCTTGCGCTCCGCGCACAAGGCACAGGAGGGACCTCAGCCTTCACCTGCGTTGCCATCCCTCCCAGCAGCCCTCGCCCCTTCTGCCTCACCATCCTCCTGGATGGAGCATTTGCCGCCTAAGCTCAGCTCGGAGGTCGTTCAGGATCTGGTCACGACCTTTAAGGCCAACTATCCGGGGGAACTCCTGGACGACGATACTATGCCGTCAATACGCCTTCTCAGCCTTGTGCAACACAGCCTTCAGCCAGGAGAAAAACTGAAGTGGATACCGTGGCAGCTTCGCCTTAGCTCCAAACAGTACTCCGAAATTATGGAGGCCAAGTCATCTAAGCCTATGAGGACGGAGGCCCAGCTGCTCGCCTCAGCCATATATGACGACACGCCTGAGATGGCCGTCTCCCATCTCCGCCTTTCCGTGTCCTGGCTACAGCGCATCCAAACAGTGTTCAGGAGCGCTTGGGCACTGTGTGGGGCAGCCCACCTCAACAACCTCGCGAGTCGAGCACTTAGCCTTGCCAGATCTAGCCGACTCCTCCCTCCGGGGACCAACAACGCAAGAGCTCTTGGCAGCTGATCGCAAGATTTGGAACACCATCTCCAGCCTTGCTGCCTCTGGCTGGAGCCTCGACGAAGCCTTGTATGAGGTCACTAGCATTCGGAATGACCTCGCCAACTTGCTTCAGCCAAGACCGCGGCCGCCGCCGACACTGCCGGGTCCTAACCGCCGTCCCAATGGAGGAAACCCACCCCCCCCGCCAAGCAAAAGAATCCGCCTTAACACGCCAACCACCGAAAAAGGTGGCAAGGGCAAGGGCCGCGGCAAAGGCCTTCAGAAGCCAGATAGCCCATCCAAGTCTGACTCATGGCCCTCTAACAGTGTTGAAGGCCAAGGGCAAAGTGCTCTGTAAGCGTTACCAGAGAAATCTCTGCGCCTTGCCCAATTGCAAATTCGCCCACCTCTGCGCGGTTAGGGGCTGCGGCAAGGAGCACTGTGCCGTCGACCACGACAAGAAGCCTTCATGACTAGGCCCTGCATCAGAGTCTCAGCCGCACCAGCAGTATCAGCCACCTCCCAGGCCGATACCCGAAGCCTCACAGGCTGCAGCCATGGAGCAGCCTCACCCACCCGAGAGCCCACCGCAGGACCAGCCGTCAACATCCCAAGCCGCAGAACCACAAAGCCTCGGCCATGCGCAACACGCAACCCCGGCGGGGGTCCGGCGGGACGGCGCTTTGCCAACCGGGTCTGGACGGCGCTCAGCCAACGCAAAGCCCATAAGCCCCAGTAGTCCCCAGCCTTAAGACCTTAGCGGTTTGCCCTTCCATCCCCATAGGCTCCACCTGCCTACGTCACGCGCGCGACGCAAACGTCTGCGCTATCGACCTTTCACAAGAAGATCCCCAGGAGCTGCCCGACCTTCTCCTTCAGGCAATTTGGTCCCGGGTGGTTCTAGGCATCATCGCAGACCTCAGCTCACTTGCCCCACACCTCGACGAAGCCTGCGCCTTTCTGCAGGCCATACGCTCCTCCGGAGCATCCGCCCTCCTATTCCTGCCGGCAGATCATTTCCTCTTCCAGGCGCCTCCGTTCTGCGAAGCGGTCCACGACGGGGGGCTCTTCCTATGCCCGCCGTAAGGATCCGAAGGTGTGTTTTGCACACTAGCGTATACAAATTGCATTGGCGTAATTCCAGCGTCGGCGTATGCCATACGCTGTGGTTATACGCTGCGTATACGCTGGTTATACGCAGCGTATACGCTGCATACGCAGCGTATACGCATGGTATGCATGCCATGTATTATAATTACGCTGATGGCGTTTCATGGCAACTTGCGCTGATGGCGTTTGTCCATGCAGACAGGTAAAGCATGCAGACTCGATGTATTTTCCAAAGCAGTGGCTGTCCGCTGATGCGAAAAACGCTTGCGCTGATGGCGTTTACTTCCGCTGATGGCGTTTCCTTGCGCTGATGGCGTTTACTTGCCCGCGACCATGCAACAACAGCAAATGCCATAATACATTATAAGGCATGCAAGGTGTTTTCAAAACCAGTGACTGCGTCCGCTGATGCAAAAAACGCTTGCGCTGATGGCGTTTACTTCCGCTGATGGCGTTTACTTGCGCTGATGGCGACCATGCAACAACAGCAAATCCCATAATACATTATAATGCAGTGACTGCGTCCGCTGATGCAAAAAACGTTTGCGCTGATGGCGTTTACTTGCGCTGATGGCGTTTACTTGCGCTGATGGCGTTTACTTGCCGCGACCATGCAACAACAGCAAATGCCATAATACATTATAAGGCATGCAAAGTGTTTTCAAAACCATGACTGCGTCCGCTGATGCAAAAAACGCTTGCGCTGATGGCGTTTACTTGCGCTGATGGCGTTTACTTTGCTTGCGATAGATATATAGGAGCCAGCACTTGAAAATGTTGTTGGCGCAAAGTTGCACCAACAACATTTGAGCCAAAAACATCAAGGGTCATATGGGGTATGTGTATATATATATATATATGTATATACATATCATCTGCACATCTATTGAATGTGTATCAGTAACTTACTTAAATTCTTTCGACTGGTTTGCAACATACGGCGGCTGGTTTCTAGGTTGCTATATAGCTGTCTGGGTCTTCATGTGATGTGTGACATTTTTGTTGCATGCGGGACGAGCATGTCTAGCTGCACACACACACACAGACACGCAAACACACACACACACACACACACACACACACACACATCTGCATAAGACTTGTTGCGAGATGCTCTATTGGTACATGATGGTTCCCTGATTTCGTTGCGTACTTCTTCTACTGAAGCTCACGAGCGGTTCAAGCTTCACAGGTCCCTCCCTCTTCTATCTTTGAAGCCATGTCGGGCCAGGGAGACCAGTTGGACAAAATGTCCACTTTGCTGGCAGAAGTGGCTGCTCAGCTAGAACAAGTGAAGCTGCAAGGATCACGGCGTGAAGAGCAACATCACGACCTTACTGAACGCATGAGTCAGTTGGAAGCACGCATGGATGCCCCACAGTCTTCGGCCGCTGTGCTAATTCCGACTCAGCTGCAGCCACAATCCTTCACAGTTCCGCTAGCCCAGGGGGTAGACCTCAACGCCCCGGCTACAGTCGGGCAGTGCATGGAGTTAGTGCAGATGGCGATGCAACAGAAGGTCGCCCCAGCTCTCGGAGCAGTTTACTCCTCCCTGTCCACCTCACAGGTGAGGACAAACGAGCGAGTGGGCAACCTGGAGCAGCAGGTCCGGGCCCTCCGCATCCGTACTGCATGGGCTGAGAAGGACATGCTCTTCTCACAGATCGAGCAGGCAAAGCGCACCATCGTATGCCGCAATTTCCCCACCTGGCAGACGGAGGCGGACCGCCATCTCACAGTGGAAAAAGCCCTTGCGAAAGCTGGGCTATGGAACATCGATGGCATGTGGGATCTGGCCACGACCCGGCTGGACACTGGCACGCCAGGCAAGCCGGAGCTCTCTGCCACGTCCATCCTCACAGTCCCTTCCCTCACGGTCCGGAAGCGGATCCTGGAGGTAGCGGACAGGGTGTACCCTTGGTACTTCCACCAGGAGAAGCCTGGGACAACGGAAGAACCCAAGGAGCCCGAAGAGGCAAACGAAGGTTCTGAAGGAGCGGCTGAGAAGACCCCGGCGGCATCCTCACAGGCAGCCGGGTCCAAGGAGCCAGCCCAGACTTATGAGTATAAGGGCGGCGGTCCTGTAAAGCTCTCCCCTGGAGTCACACAGTTTGAACGCCGGCTCGCTTCGCCGCTCCAGGGACTCATGAACGCTTACAGGGCGGCCTTCAGCAAGTTCACCAAAGAGCCGCTGGTGCCGAGGTGGAAGACGCTGGCACTTGTTGACTCCAAAGAGGCTTGGCTGGGCCGTATCGTGTACCGCCGTGGAGGTCCTTCACAGACGACCTCCACAGGCGCCCTCACAGACTGGGAGTGCGAGATCCACATCCCGGAAGAACATGCCAGCAAGCTCTTGGAGACTTGGCGCAGCATCTGGTATGACCAATTGCGACAGCAGGTCAACCAGACGACTGTCGAGCAGGAAGCTTTCGACAGTGCAGCTCGCCTCACAGCACACAACTATGCTGAGGCCAAGAGACTTAGCAGGTTCCTGACCAAGGCCATCCCGGAGTACAACGAGGGCGAAGATGAAGGCCTAGACCACTGGATCGCCAGGTTCCGGTATGAGTTCCCCTGGCCGGTGAAGTTTGTCCAAGTCGCCCAGGACGCCGAGGAGAGGACGCACTTCACAGGCCTTCGGTCCACCGAGGAGCTCATGGAAGAAATGGCAGCCCAGGAGCAGGAGGCAGCCTTCACAGTGAACTCCGAGAGTGGAGGCGTGGGGGCAATGATCGATGTGACCTCCCAGATGAAGCGCACTCACAGTGACGCAGCCTCCGCCGTCAGTGGAATCAGCACGGCTAGCGTCCCGAGTTCGGGGCTTCCGCCTCCACAGCCCACCAAGGCCCGACCGAGCTACTACCCGTTGGCTCACAGACGGAGCTAGAGGAAGCGGTCGAGGCAGCCAAGATCACCCACATCAACCATGGTGGGGTCCCGGGCGACTACTCACAGGAGGCCTGGGAGGCATGGTGCATCAAGCGCCGAGCGGCCGGCTCACAGTCGCAGTGATGGTCTGGCAAGCGCGCCCTCTCTTCCTTGCAATCTTCCGCAGCAGCTGTGCGACCGCATTTTTCACAGGCTGCTGCCTCTTGTACTATAGCTGACCCAGACCGTACCACACAGCTGGGCAAAAACAAGTTGAACGTTCTGGCACGCCACCTAAAGGCGAGCTGGGTGCGCTGAGCACTCTAGTCCATCTACACCTCACAGTTTCGCTTTTCCAGGTTGCTCTGAGAGTTGTTCTAGTGTGCCTTTTGGCGACGAAGTGCCCCACAGACCCCACACCACTTCCCGGACCCCCCCCCTCACAGACCCGAGCACAATACCACCGCCACCTCAGGTCACAAACAGCACGGCAGCGGCGAGCACGCCGCCGCATCACCACCAGATCTCGCAGCAGGCGGGAATACAGAGCTTGGAGGCATGCTCTATCCACCTCTCCAACCCCTAGTTGTGGTTTGGGCTCCAGAGCTAGGATCAACAACCAAAAGCGTTTATACGGCCCCACGCCGACTGCCCCAACCCCGGGCGGCTTACAGCCTGTTTCGACCAGGGCTTCCCTTAAGGGCCGAAGCCCTCAGTTTCGCTCTTGCAGACGTTTCCACCGCCTTTTGGCAAAAGCCCCAGATATGAGAGTGAAGAGACACCCCCCACAGAACCGATCCACCCCCAACCATTTGAGGCTTCGAACACCGGAGCCCACCACCCCACCAACTGGCCATTTTGGCCCGCCTGCCTCACCAACGGAAGGCTCCTCCACCACCGCCCCTCTCACAGCGGACACTCTCCCCCCCTCCTTCCCTTCCCCGCCCAACCCCACCCCCCCTTCACAGCCTCAGGTGAGCAGTGGCCGAGACTCCTGGACCGAGGCCCACGATACCCAAAACAAGCAGCACACCCGTGCACACTGG